TGCTCCTGCAGGGGGGTTGGGCTGGGTGACCTCTAGGGGTCCCTTCCCACCCAAACCATTCTATGATTCTATAGGAAAAAAAAAAAAGCCCCGAGAGCAGCGTCCGTCTCACATTAACAGGAGCGGGGGAAAGCGGCTGTGGGGTACAACGCCAGCTCACCATTTTTATCTCCCAGTTCACGTTCCACTGCTTCAAACCGCCAGGTTTTGACGGCGTCGCCCGTGCTGGCGTCCATCCGTATCAGCCGGTTGTAGGCGATACCGATCAGCTCCTCCTTCTTGCCCCCCTGGAACCTGCGACAGGGCGAGGGATTAAAAACCGCCCGCCCGCGACTCACGGCTACGCCTGTTAAATTCAGCAGCTGAGCTAACTTATAAAATCGCTTCTATAAGCTGACGCAATTAATGCTTTTAATTGCAGCTCTGGTGCAACTTCCACAGCGAACGATGTGCTGCGTATTTAACGTACTCCACATTAATTCATGGAATTCCTCCCGTTCTGCCCAGCGGACCCAACCGACCTTGCAATGAAATGCGTGATGCCGAACTCGGGCAGCGACTGCCAGGCTTGAATAAATCGCATCTTCGCCTCGATGAGACTCATCTGAGCAACGTTCTGGTGGGCTTCCAGGATGCGTGCCGTGATCTGTGGGCGGCGAGACACACTGGCTTTAGCGGGGGGGGGACAACAACGACTCGTTAGCGGCATCACCGCTGCCACGCGAAGGGGTAACCGCTCGGGAGGCGCTTGGGAGCCAGCGCGGTTACGGACAACGCGGATAATCGATGATTTCTACCCCGAGGCCTTATTTCAGCTACGACGGCTCAAAGCCCGCGGCCGTGGCTGATAAAGGTGGAGCTGCCTTTGCTTCGCATCTCCAGACGTATCAAAGCAAATGTAGACCTGAGCTGTCTGGAGGCGAAGAGCCGCACGGGCTCGTTTAGTTTAAGATGCAGGATGTGAGCAAACGGCGGGGCAAATTTCTGGTGTAGGGTTTCTACTTTTGCAGCATAAATCACTGGGGACCATTATAAAAACCAAACAGGGTCCAAGTTTTTTCCGGGGAGGGGTGTGGGTGGTGTTAGTTTTTTCATTACTGTTCTCCAAACCGAAGGGGTTCTAGACTATTTTAAGTTTTATCTTAAATTTCTTAATTTTGTTGTTGCTGTCACTTACCAAGTCTCTTACATAGCCTGGCTGTAGATGGCAAGGCGAAAAAAAAAAAAAAAAAAAAAAGAAAAGGAGGCAGAAAGAAAAAAAAGCAATCAGAAATATGGCAACAAAGCAAAGAAAAAGTGTAAATTAAACTGCAAACCAAAGTTCAAGCAAAAAAAAAAAAAACACATGCACAATTTCTTAGGGAGAAAAGCAGCCAAAGGGAACGTGAGGACGGAGAGGGGACAAGCCAGCAGAGATTCGCCCCCCATGCCGGCCCTGCCTGAGCACCGGTGCGGTCCCAGCTGGCTGGCATCATGTAGAGATGGCTTTGGTCCTGCTGGTGGATGAAAGGGAGGGTGAAGCTGCTGGCTCAGAGGAGAATTCATGTCCTCACGCTTCTCTCCATGCCTCTGCACAAACTGAAACCCACTTGCTCGCAGAGGACGCTCGATGGGAAGCTCAAGAGCTCGCCGTAGCTCGATACAAGTATTTGAGATGTGCAGAGAAACGCCAGGGATGCTGCTCGGGGTACCAAGCGGCTGGAGGAAAACAACAGCCGGAGCGTGCGGAGGGAGGTGGCCTTGCCCCGGGGGCTTTCTGGGGACACATCTGCCCTCGCAAGCCGGCTGAACACCGCTCCGACACCGAACCCCAGCAAGGTACCTGAGAGCCGTAAGTACGTTTATTTTGGGGGGGTTTTTTTGGTTGGTTTTTTTTTTTTTGCATTTAGGATTTGGCGCTCCCCAAGCCCAATGTGCCAACCATAGGCTGCCGCAAGGGCACATGGTGACACACGCCACCCGCGCGGGGCTGGGGCTGGTGTGGGACCAAGCGCCTCTATAAATCCCCCTTACAGCAAGGCCCGCTGCCAGTCCCATTTCGGCACGGGCTGCGCGACCTCCTCCCCCTCCTTACCCTGTGCCACGGCACGGAGGGACCCTTGCGGTCGAATTCCTTGCATTCCCGCAGCCTCCATCCCTCCATCCCTCCCAGCCCATGCCGGCACGTGTGCCGCTGGCAAACGTCCTCCGCTGCTGCAAGCTCTGCCTCCGGCCGTAAAGGAAAAGCCTAAATCTGGTGTTCAGCTGATGTCTGTAGGGGACCGGGCATCTGCAACGTGGCCGCTGGCCCAGCCTGCAGCAGGGCGAGGGCTCGTGCCCATCCCCATGGCTCGATGGATGTTATTTTTATAACAAGGATACCTGCACGGTAAGCAAGTTCTGCAAGCTAATATTTTTCCAGGTGCCTCCATTTTACTGAGTTCAAGCCTAGAAGGTATTATATATGTTAAAATGGTATATTTATGCAGCCTCTCCTCCATCCAAGTGGATATAAAGGCTTATTCAGAAGAATAATAAGGGCTATATAAAATGTAACTCCACTGCCAGGAAATCATCATGCTGTGCCAATAAAAAGTTATATTTTTCCTGCTTCTCTGACTTGCAGCCTTCTTCTGGGTTTGGAGAAATTGTATCTAGCCACAGCCAGCCCGAAGCACGCAGGCTGCGAAGCTGCAGCTGAACGATTAAGTCACCGAAAGGCCACGGAGCAATGCCTTACTTATTTCTGCTGCTGTCCTGACATATAATGTCTTTCAGAAAGCCATGCATTTATTTCCAGTGCAGAACAGTTCAGCCCTGTTCATGCACGGGCCGAAGGCAGCGTGGAGTTCAAGCGCAAGTCACAGCAACTCAAAATGGAGCAATGGTTCAAGGACTGGCATTTGGAAGTAGTGGAAAAGCAAAGAGAGAAATATGCAAACCGCAGTAGAGCCAAGTCTGGATAAAGCACTGCAAGCAACTCTAACTCCACTGATCCTGAGGATTTCTGCACGGGCTCTGTGCAAGGGAAGGGGTTTTAATCCCAGCACCAGGGACTGATTTCGTCTCGTCGCTGCTACGTCTGCACGGGGAGAGACGGGGGCGGCTGACCCATGCTTTGCTGCACCGTCGCTCGGTATCAGCAGGGGCGAACACCATTCCCCAAAAGTACTTAAAATAAATGTAAATGAATTTTAAATGTATTTAAAATAAATGGTTCCCCGCTGCCAAGGCTGTGTACGTGCTCCGTCACATAACGTGCGGCATAATTGAGGTCGTGGGTGCCATCCCCAGGTGCTGGATCGAAACCACACACTTCAGCTGGCGTTTCATTTTAGTAACCGTGTGCATGTGATTAAGTGACAGCATCCAAAACACGCAGTGTTAAACACCAGCTACCGCCGAAAATGGGTGCACAGTCAGGCCGGTCCACACCAACACCAACACCGCGCGGGGAGAGCGGACGAGCACCTACCTGCTTGTTCTTGTATTTTTTCAGGTAGCGAGGAGAAACCAGGCACTCGGGGTTAATGTCGGTATTGATTTGCTCTGGGATCAGCTGCGGGTCTGGGTTCAAATGCTGCATTTTCAGGAAGGAGAGGATGTTCTGTACTTCCATGCCGTAGGAGCTGTCGGCCATCGTCTTGCCCTTGGAGGCCAGGCGGCAGGCGGCCATCCAGCTGGCGTACTGCGTCTCCTGATCTCTGGGGAGCCTTTGTTTTCCTTCCAGCCCCAGGAGACACACGGAGAAGGGCAGAAACCCAACCAACGCGTAGACTGCGACCATGGGACAAAGCCAAGGAAGAGCAGGGGTGGATTTTCTACTCCAAATACATGAGCGTGCTCACATGCAACGCTGAACGTTGAAATCAGACATGTGTGGGTGCATTTTGGTTTTTTTTTTTAATTAACACCAGCTACATGGCACATCCGAGCGTGAGCTGGTGGTGGGCAAAGGGCAAAGGGAAGGCTGGTCCAAGCCATAAACTTACGTTATCGCAGCGAAGCCAGATTTCGTTCATTCCCTCCGCCACCGGAATCAGAAGTTTGATGTTAAACTTTTGACCAGAGATGTTCACGTCAGGGGTAACTTCACATCCTGCAATGAGGGAACCACTGTTTAACAGGGGTGTGAAGAACTGGGCTTTAAAAAGGGGGAAAAAAAACCCCAAACCCAAAATAAAAGGAAAAGAAAAAGCAAAGCACTCTAACTAAAGGGTGTCCAACAGCACCTCAGTGCTGCAAAGGTCTTACACCACACCTCCAATGGGATAAACACTCTACGCAGCAGGGACAAAAACCGTGTCAGATGTCTCTTTTTTCCAAGCAACAGGAAAAAAGGGGGAAAACACCAAGACCTGATCTGAAAGCAATGCAGCCACAGCTAACGCATGCCCACGGGGTTCATCTCATAGGTCCTGCTCGGCCTGGTGAATGGACCTGATGGCTGGCAAATACTCCACGACCCTGAAATTTTCATGAAAGGGTAGGAAAAAGTGGCTGGATGGGTGCTGACTCTCACCCTGAAAGCCCTACATGTTATTTCGGCCAGGCACATTGCTGCTATAGTCAGAGGCGAGGCGTGAGCATCCCGCTTTTGGTGTCTGGAGAGGAACTGCAAGCGGTTGTATAAACACCGGGCGGTGGGGGGGGATGAACCCAACGAGTCCAGTTAGCCTGGGCACCGCTTCAACGCCGCCTCCGAGATTTTTTAAAAGTGCCATCACAGCAGATATGTTCAAAGCTCCCAAAAAGGTCCTGCGGGCCGGGCTTTGCTCTGACTGCAGCCTGAGGTCACTTGGCATCACATCTGCCTCCGGCCTCCATGGGGGGAAAAAAAGAAAAAGGGCTTTCTGCTTTTTGGTGGCTGCCAGAGCAAGAATGTTTTAACTTGACATAAGAAACGCCAGCAGCCGAAGGAATTTAAAAACTCATGAGCAAGGCTCACAGGGAGCGCTCGAGCGAGGCTGCTCGCAACCAGCAGCAGGGAGAGGAGGAAAAAAAACTTTAAAGGCAGTGGAGGAAGAGAACGGGCTGTTCTCTTCAGCGCAGCGTGTTCTCAAACTTATTCTCCACCGTGGGAATTAGTGCAATCCTTTTGGATAGCCACGGCAAAAAGGAGAAGGGCAAGTTGTCTCCCCACGGTATTGGGGAGCTGGCAGCACTTTCCCTTGGGGCCACACGCAATCACTTTCTAGGAGTTTAAGTATACACCATGCTGCCAAACCCAGTCACCCTCAGTCCTTTAAACGTATTTACCCAACCCTAGGATAGCATGCCAAGAAGATTAATCACTGGGAAAACAAGATGCAAGAGGAGCAGCCTTTTACTGGGATAAAATGCAGCGGCGCCGCTTACTATTCTCTTACCTCTCAGGTTCATCTGGTGTGCAGGAGTCCCGTTGGATTCCTCTTTGCTTTTATAGCAGGAGATAGAGGTATCTTTGAAGGTGCACCAGTATGGCTTGTAGCCTTTCAACGTCAGCTTCTTGGGCCTGCCAGACAGGTTGAGGGACATTACATTTGGTTTAAGCTCCTAAACAAAGCTGCTGCACTGGGAAACTCATTTTATCCTTGAAAACCTGGTGTCGGCAGCCTGGGGTATGCCCACCCCTGGGACAGAACCATAGAACCAGGGATGGGGACTCAACCCCTTCCCTGGGCAGCCCCTTCCAGTGCTTGACAGCCCTTTTGGGGAAGAAATTTTTCCTATTGTCCAGCCTAACCCTGCCCTGGCACAACTTCAGACCATTTCCCCTTGCCCTATCACCCGTTACCAGGAAGAAGAGGCTGACCCCTGCCTGGGAGCTCAGCCACCACTCGCCATCCCTTCACTACAATGTGTTGGGTCAAGAAATTGAGCTGCAATTGCAAATTTGGACTCTTCGATCCCATGGAAGCCCCACTGATTTGGGCCAAGGTGGGGGGAGCTGGAGACCTGTATTACAAAAATTGACGTGTCCATGAACTGCTGCAAAATATTCCTCTTCACCTGCCACACTGAACTGGAACCCCTTTGCTTGAGCTCTGAAGGGAAGCGGCACTTACAAAAGACTTGTCAGACAGGCACACGCATGAGGACGCATGTTGTTTTCTTTTTAAATACTCCGCATCAGAAATGGTTCAGTCCCTTCCTATGGAAAACACGGATTTTGCCCGACTCTGCAGAAGCCGCGACAACCCTGCAAGCCCCACCCAGCACGGTGGTACCCTGAGCCTGCTCATCCCACCACGAACCCAGGACCTTCGCTGAGCTGCAAGTTCCTAATTTTTCTTAAATCCCCTTAATTTCTAAACCTTATTCAAAGGCTGTATCTGCAGTTTCTCACTGCAATGCATTTCTCACTTCTCCATCCCAGAAACAGCTCCTCAACCCTCGTCTGTAAGGATCAAGTATGCAATGGCCCCAGTTGCTTGTCCTCGGGGCTCTGCACTTTCATTTCCAAGCAAGAGCTTGGGGAAATAAGGGAGGTGGGGGAGAAACACGGCGTCTGCCTGAACTCCGCTGCTCCCACACCCGTGATGGACGTCTGAGCTCGGGGCATCCGCTGCCTCCTCCTGCCTTTGCTGGTTTTCCTCCTCCTAAAGACCTGGCACACACAGCCCTGCCCCGTGCAAACTTTACAACCGCAATTTCCTTTGCCTCCCACTACAGAAGAAGTCACCAACCCCCAGCCAAGCCACCCTACGTGTGCAGTTTTTCCCATCCTTTGCAAAGGATGCAAAATCCTTCGCTAACGATGCTTTAAGACGTCTTTACCACATTGAGCTCTTTTGGGGGCTCCTTTAAAGTGCAGGCAGGGCATTTTGGCTGGCATGGGCAGTAAACTGGCTGGCAGGGGGGGAGAGAAACATCCTGAGTCTCTGTGGCAACCCCAGGCATAGGGACATATATATAGGGCTTATATATAAGGCATATTAGGGACATATATTGCAGCTCCTTCCCAATGAAGCGTGACAAGAGGCAGATCCAAAGCTGGGCCAGCTCCTAACATCGCGTCATTTATGTTGGGTTTCTGGCAGTAAAATACCACCTGGCCCTCATTTTTAGGAGCAAATGGCAATTCTGTGCTTCCCCGTCGTGGCAGGACAGCCTCAAATCCCAACCTCAGGGGTTTGGGCTTGCACCGCGCGACGAACCGGCAGCTTCTTGCTGCTCCATCTCTCCTGCCCCACCAACTGGCACTCCGACTTGCAAGCAATTAGCTCCCTGAGTTGTGCCTAACTTTAGTGGCAAACAAGCACATCAAAGGCAAGAGCAAGTTCTTTGTTTGTTTTTTTGTTTAAGGATGGGAAAAAGCACCCACTCAGGTGCAGGGCACAGGCTGCAGCCCTGAAACTGTGCCCCAGTTAAGACAGACCGCAAGCCCAGACGGACGTGGAGACCTTATTAATTTGCCTTCGGAGAGGGAGAAAGCATTTTTCAGAACAGAAGTGGTAGGTTCTGGCTCCAGAACCAAGCGACTAATAAAATAAAGGCTTGCTCCAGAGCTATGTCGCTGCCTACTGCTTTTCTTCTCTATGCTGTGAAATCTCATCATTATTTCCAGTTTCCAGAACTTTCACCATAACCCTCACTGCAGCAGGCAGTAAATTGCAAAAAGATGGTCGCGACTGCCAAAATGTTACTCAAAGTCCAGACGCTGCCGTTCTCGGTTTCCATCTACAACCATCCAAGTCAAAACAAAATAAATAAAAAAAGATCCTAAATCCTCAGCGAGCTGGAAGAGGAGCACAGTCGGCTTAACCTGCTGCTTTTGGCAAGCAGAGGGCAGACAGACCGGGATCACGGCTGTTTAGAATTTATCCAGCCTCTTGCAAACCAGGCAAAGTATCTGAGCCAGTTTTCTAGGTTTCAATCCTAATTTTAGGATGACTTGATTACTTCACGGGCATTAATTGCGTTACAGAAATATCCCGGCATGTGCTGCTGGCTACGGGATGCAGCAGGCTCTCCTGGAGGGATCCGTACCCACCGGGGCGGTGATAGTGGGAAAACACCCGGGGTTTTATATTTAACAACCGATCAACTTCAGCATCGGATATTTCAAATGGCGTGAAATACTTAGCGACTGCTACGGGATAAGGAAGTAAAGTGTTTTAATAGTAAGAGAGCACAGATGCTGAGCTGTGGATTGCTGGGTGGCTTTTCACATGAGATAACACAGCAGCGTGCAGCAAGATCTTAAGGCCAGGAGATAAAAAAAAAAAGAAGAGGATATTAGGCGGTAGGACCGTTAATTATTCATAGACTTTACCAGTTTCGCAAGCACCTCTTCCCATCAGCACTTACTTGAAGACTTTAATGTAGTCGGCGAGCTCCGGGATGGAAGTGATGTCACCCTGAAAATAGAAATTATCCCATTCAGCCGCCTGCCCGAGCGGAGCTGGGGTGGTGGCTCCGGGAGGGAAGAGATGCAGCGCAGGGGAGGAAGCCCGTGGCAGCTTCACCTGCCAGCACTGGGGCTCGGGGGTCATGACAGTGCTCCTGAGAAAGCCCCATCCACTCCACGGGAGAAGCAAGCAGAGAAAAATCTATCACACAGAAGTGCTGCTTGGAAACCAGAGGACAAGGTTTTAGTCACACCGGCTCGTGTTCGCACAGGGATTTTTCTCCTCCCTTAGTTATTTCCTTATGCGCCAAACAAAAGGAGAAGATGCTGCTCTGCACCTCCACGGAGGACTGGGGAAGGGCTTGCTGACAGTCTAGGAAGGTTTTTTCCCCCCGGCTTTTTTAATATTGAGTTTATTTCTACATTGTGCGCAAGCAAAATACACAGCGTGGCACTTGCAATCCCCACGAGCTTAAGCTAAAGGGTTTTCAAAGGACAGGAAAAGCAAAGACTGCTCCGAGACAGCTTCCAGTAGCAAGACAGTTTACTTTCCGCCTGCATTGAGCAATGCTGTTTATAGATACCAGGGGAAAAAAATGCAGAATCTAAGCAAACAATCCAGTAATTGCCCATTATCTGTATTCAATTACTCGAATGCATCTGGAAATGGCTACTGCTAGCAACCCCTACGGAAAGGGATGGAGGTTTTCTGATGAATCATCGTCGTCTTTGCTCCTGTCTGACAGGGACTGACTCCTTAGTACTGTGCTTTAAGCCTGGTTTTGAAAAGAAATTGTAAAAGATCTCTTGGCGATAAAAACTTGTCACTACTTCTGTTGCACCGAAGCAATGCTGCTCTCCCTGCGGCGACTGGTTCATATTGTAAACCTCTGCTGTTATTAATGCTAGTAAAGCAGGCTAAGTATGGATGTTAACTTCAAAAAGACCCTTCGTAAACCCTTAAAAAAAATTATATGAAGTCTAAGACTGGAAAAATTCAGGGGTTTTAGGGTTTGAAAGAACTTAAAATGAAACTCAGAGATGGTATAAATGTGCAAAGTGCCTGGAAAAGCTGTGCTGCGCCAAGCCTGACCAGACCTACTCCTTCTTTTGGGCTTTACATTTTTAAAGGTGGAAAACCGGTGTTAAAAGAGCATATCAGAAAAAAAAAAATAATGAAATCCTCTGAAATAGAGTCATAGCACACTCCAGGCTAAAATCCAGTCTAATAAAAACCGGGTTTCATAAGTGTAATTTATTTCTGAAAATCATGGCAGCTGTTTTAGGTGCTGTAAAACTTTGCCATGAATTAGAAACGGTGGAAGAGAAACCTCAGCGTGAAGAATTCAGTATTCTGGAAAGCCGGTAGCGGGAACAGAAACCAAATGAATTTTAATTTAGTTTTCCATTATTTCACCAGGAGGCAGCTTGGTGCAGGAGGGGCGGTGCAGTTAAGATCCTGGCTCCTCCAGGACTTTGCCAACACCATTTTGGTTTTATGGTCCCAGGAGGAAAAATGTGATATTGCACTTGACTTCTGCAGCAATGCAGAGCTGGGCACGAGGGATGGGCTGAGCTCTCCCTGCTAAATTAACTGTAAACACCCAAAAAATAGCAGGTGAAACACCCAAAAAATAGCAGGCGGTCTTAAAGCTTAAATGAAGCCTTTGGTTCAATACGTGCATGTGCTCCAAGAGGTTTTTATGCCACGTTAGGGCTCAGAGCAGAGCTTGGCGCTGGCCCCATGCCGGACAATTCCTGGGGTCCCCTCCCATCAGAACTACCCCTTGGTATTTTAAAAAATATTATCTTAAAGAAAATATTATCGGGGTCTGTGTTCTGCATTGCTCCACTGGGCTGTGGGCAACCTTCTCATGCTGTAAGAACAGGAATAGAAAAAAAGGGAGAGGAAGGAAATAAAAAAGGTTGGGTGCCTGGAAAAATTCCCAGCTTGGGGTGATTATTCCTGTCTCGTGCAAGGTGAGGAGAGGACACGCAAGCCACCCTGCCACCGCGTGCCTGCAACCCTTACCAGGATCGTCGACGTTTTGCCACCTTCCAAAGTAATTTCCAGATCCGACAGCGCAGCATCCACCTCATCCACCTCCTTGTCGCTGTTGTTCAGGTGGTTTTCTGAGGACATGATGGACAGCTTGTTGATGTGGTACTGAAAGGCAAGGCACAGCATTTCACCAGGATGCTCCTGCGATCTGCCGGATGCCGCGGGCTCGTCACGACACAGCTGCTGCGCTTGAGAAGCAGAGTGGAAAACGGGACCCGTACCCTCTGTGGGAGCAGAGCCCGGCGAGCGCCGAGACCTGAGTGCAGTCGAGTCAGGAATGACCAATTTGGCTGTTTTCAGTCCGAAGAGTCGCTGGTACAAACCCCAAGGGACCGCTCCGGACCCCGCAGGGCAGAGCTACTCTTTGCACAGCATCACAGACTGGTTGAGGTCGGAGGGGACCTCTGAAGGTCACCTGGTCCTACCCCCAGCTCAAGCAGGGCCACCTACAGCCATTGCCCAGGACCACGTCTAGGAGGCTTTTGAGTATCTCCAAGGACTGAGAATCCACGGCCTCCCTGGGCAACCCGTGCCAGTGGTTGGTCACCCTCACAGTAAAAAAGTGTTTCCTGATGTTCAGAGGGACCCTCCTGCGCTTCTGTCTGTGCCCATGGCTGCTGGTTCTGTCACTGGGCACCACTGAGAAGAGCTGGGCTCCATCTCCTTTACAGCCTGCCATTGGGTATTTATATACATTGATAAGATCCCCTGAGCCTTCTCTTCTCCAGGCTGAGGTCCCAGCTCCCTCAGCCTTTCCTCAAAGGAGAGATGCTCCAGGACCTTCATCATCCTCATGGCCCTTCATTGGACCCTCTCCACTATGTCCATGTCTCTCTTGCACCGAGAAGCCCAGAACTGGACCCAGTACTCCAGGCGTGGCCTCACCAGCACTGAGCGGAGGGGAAGGATCCCCTCCCTTGACCACCTGGCAATGCTTTCCCCAGTGCAGCCCAGGACACCATTCACCTTCTTTGGCCCAAGGGCAGAATGCTGATGCATGGTCAACCTGGTGTCCACCAGCACCCCCAGGTCCTTTTCCACCAAGCTGCTTCCCAGCTGGGTGGCCCCCAGTACACACTGGTGCCTGGCGTTGTTCCTCCCCAGGGGCAGGACTTTGCACTTCCCCTTGTTGAACTTCATGAGGTTCGTGTTGGCCCGTTTCTCCAGCCTGCCGAGGTCCCTCTGGATGGCAGCAAGACTCTCCGGCGCATCAGCCACTCCTTCCAGTCTGAGAGGATGCATTGCATCTGGTTTTACCCCAGAAACCCAAAACACCCATAAAATCTTTCACGAAGGACCATGCCCAACCCACTCTGGACTGCTCGAAGAGGTAAACGGAGTCTTTTTATTGCTCTTTTCACTCTTTTTTCCCTAGGAGGGGCCCTAGGAGCAGACAGCCCTGCTCTTGCTGGGGCTGCTCTTTCTGCATCCTACAGCGACGAGGCGCGCCAGACCACACGTAGTAAATGGCCTGCCATCCGTCTTACAGAAGTCAATAGCAGGTGTAGTATTTATGCCAAATCACGCCAAGTATTTCATAAAACAGATAAATAAATAGTTCTGGGAAACCCACAGATTATCACCAGCTGTTTGGGGGGCAGCGTGCCAGAAACACACAGTTCAGTAACCTAGCGTACTTACTGGGGATTTTTCAAAAGGGCAAAACTAAAAGTTAAGATAGACATAAACATGTTTGGTAAAAGAAGGCCAAGTTCCTTTTCATGAGAAGTAACCAGCAGCAAATATTTAAATTACCTAATAAGCTCAAGTGAGGATTAGGAGACGGGAAACGAGCTGACTTCTACCAGCACGAGAAGTCCCAGCTCCCACCGAAGACCAGGTGGGGCTTAAAACACCAGTTACAGCAGGCTTCACTGCTTGTGTTAATCCATAGTCGTCAACAGAGAAGTCTGCAAAGCTACAGGCGCAAGTTTTAAGGACAAACGTAAGCGTGTCGGGCTGTCTCCTACCTGCAGTGCCGCAAACATCATCATTTCTTCCTCCGTGCACTCGATCTCCTCCAGCAGGATAGCCCACTTGGACTGCTCGTACAGCTGGTTGATCCTGATCGCGTCGTACTACGGCACAGCGCAAAAACACGGACCGGTTGTAAAAGGTACCAGCACAGTTCAAGACAAACCACTTCACCTTTCGTTTCAACGTAACACTTCAATCCGAGACTGAAAAGCCTCTGCCACCGAAGCAGAGTGGCTCTAAGCAGCCCTTAAAGCATCTCTAGCAATACCTAAGCGTTAGCAAACCGGTACGTGGGAGCACGCAGAGCCAGGTTTGATGCCTGCAAGACCAATTTCCAAAGCTGTGGAGGATTTACCAACACACAAGCACATTAGAGACAGAGGCATCCTTTGCTCGAAGCCTTTGCCTGCAAGATGTAAGTAAAATAGTTTTGTACCTTTGGATTCAGGTCAAAAAAGCTGTAGTACTTGAACCGGAGCAGCAAAGCTTCATTTTCTTTCACCTCCTGCTCCATAAGAGATCGGGACGAATCTAGCCATCTGTAAATCGTCAACAGGGGATAACACACACAAAAAGCTCCGGTGATGTCGTGATGATGCTTTCAAGAATGCAATTTAAAACCGCATATTGAAAAAAAAAAAAAAAGAAGAGAGAAGAGCAGAAAAACAAATCCTTAACTCACCCTTGGTTGATTTTGGCTTTATCAAGCAGCGCCTGTGGCTTGTACATTTTTGCTAAGGACTCTGGGGAGGTGACGGGCTGGCTCACGGCCAGGATGCCCGGGTTCCCCTCCGACAAGGCACTGTCACCAAACCAGGCTGAAGTGGGTGACAGGGGACTGCCGTCGTGAGCGTCGTAGGTCGGTGTCATCGTTTTGCTATACAGTCCTGGGCTCGAATATATGTTTCCTACCGGTAAGAGGAATAAAAGCTGGGAGTTAGCTGACAGCCAAGCCCTGCCTGCTCCCAACCAAGCCAACTCAGACACAAACCCAAAGCCAGCGGATGAAAAACCTTCCCTTTTTTTTTTCCCACAATGGGAAAACACTGCCCTGCTTGTTTTCCCATGAAAAGCTGCCCCTCTCTCTCAGCTCTTCTCCTGGAGCAAAACTGATGGAAAACTCATTCTAGCCCCAATCCATGGGAAAAGGCGCAGTTCTCCCACACCGGGAAACTCCTGCCCCCTGTGTTTCTGCAGGACCTGGGACACGAACGGCCCCCGACTTACCGGTATTACCTGTTGCTTAAAGATTTTGGAAGTCAAAAGTTTTAGAGGAGCAGGAAAATAAACTAAGGGCGCGGCCAAAGAGACCAGAGGCAGAGCACAAAAGTCCTACTGAGGTAGAGCTCACCTTTGACGGGGCCGATGTAAAGAATATCGGTGCCTATAGAGAGGGAAAGAAAGGAGGGAAGTGAGAAGGCGAGAGAAAGTCACCGGGAGAGTAGGAAAGGACAGAAGCCAAAAATCGGCATTTTTGGAAGAGGGTGAAATAGCACAGGTGAGGTTTAATCACCCAAACATAGTGTTTGCAGCAGTGCCGGTGGACTCGGCAGGCAAAGCAACCAACGTGACTCCACAGTTATTTTATTCGTGTTACAAGAAACAGCCGGGCACGGAAACGCGGCATTTCACGGACGGAAAAGCTTGCTGAGATGGCCAAACAAATTCGGTATTAATATGCTGAGCAAGTGGTGCGATGTGGTGCGAAACTGATCCCGAAGCACACATTGCTCCCAAGCCTTTTAAAGCTTTACAGCTTGTACAGGCTCAAAGCAGACCCAAAAAAACCCCATTTTAAAATTACAAATTTGAAGAGAAGAAAGTGGACCCGGCTTGGTATCTCATATCCCAAAATAGCTGAGCACTAAATAGTCCCTATTTGTTTCAAGGGAGCATTGATTTTTATGTTAAGGATATAAAGCATGGATTTTTTTCAAAATAAGGGAGGTTCAACGACCGTATCCTAATGTCAGTAATTCCACTGCGTACGTACATCGGGCAACGAGCTCTGCATCATTTGCTGGGCATAAACCTGTGCACCAGTCCCAAGAAGGAGCAGTAACTGGCTTTTTTGGAAAAGAGTTGTGTCCTTTTCAAATCACGAGCCTGTTCAGACGTACAATTCAATGCACCCAAACTCTACCTCCAAGAGGTATTAAGGGTGTTGAAGGGGCGCGCAGCAGGGATGAGATGCCAGAAGTAAGGTCTTCTGTGCCACCTCCTGCCATGGCCCTGAACCACCCGCCCTGGGCCACCCTCCAGCTCCTGACGCCAAACAACCCCTCCTCCCTGAATGCTCAAGAAATGATAGAAAGCTGAGCTAGACATCTGGGAAAATCTAAGACCAACGCAACAGAAAAACCTTTCCAAACTCTCATTTTTTTGCCATGGGCATCTCCAGGAGCAGAACGAGTGGTTTTTAGAATCGCGAGCCTCATCCCAATGACAGCCAACATAGGAACGTAGAAACGTAAATAATACAGAAATGTGACTCTAAACTGCCTGATAGGATGGGAAATATATGTGAAAACTGGATGCTTTTAATGCTCCTGCTAGTTTTGCCAGCATCCCGGTCTGGATTAATGTTTTGACAAAAAGTCTGGGGACCGGTAAGCACCGTGGGAACCTGCCACTGAGACAGACCCAGCAAAACTGAGTAGGAGCAAAAAAGCTGCGTAAACGATGAAGGGATGGAGATATTCACCTACAAGCTTCACACTTGCAAGGAGAAGGCTGGGGGTGACTTGCCAGATACTTATACCACGTACTTTAGGAGTTGGACTCGATGATCCTTACAGACCCTTCCAACCTGAAATATCCTGGGATTTGATGATGGTAAAAGCAGCGGAAACGTGTTCTCCCCATGGACATTGTTACGCTGGAGCAGAGCAGCCCAACAAGAGCTGGCAATAAACCACCACCACCATCCATAAACTGCATCCCAAAAGATGCTCTTGCCTCCTCCCCATCCGCCCTCGCAGCGTGCCAGCCTCAACCTTCCCGTGGCTCAAGCAGACAAGGCTGAGTGTTAACCAGACCAAAAAAAAAGCAAAACCCACTTCTTGCCCCAAATCGGGCGGCTTTTCCCATGGACATCCCTCTGTTCGAGTGCCTGCTCCAGGTGAGCAAAGCTTCCCTTTGGATGTTCTCATCACCTTCTCCAAACATCTGAAACATCTCAGAAGAAGCTTCTCTTAAAAAATTTGCCTGTGGCAGGCAATGTCATGGAAAGTTCCAGCC